AGGAAGTGTTTGCTCGGTCTCTCGCCGAGATGACTTCGATAATCTTCACCACTGCTGCGGATTTTTCACAAGAACCCTCCATAAATCCAAGATTTCATCCACAGTCTTCTTCTTGTTAACATACTCTCCACTCTTTTCATTACCCATTTCTAGTATCGACTCATCACTATCAACATCTTCATCATCGACATTTTCTACCACCTCTCCATCACTCAACTTAAACCCATGCTTATCGGGGTTGTAAATTTCCACCGGAGAAAACGAGGCCCCCGTTTTCTTGTCCACAACATGTTTCTCAAATCCTTCAACAAAGCTGAGATTTTCCGCCACAACATGAAACTTTCCGACACTGTCGCCCAACACCAATCTCATCGGATCCACACTCAACTGCCCCGACACGAATACGCAGTTATTCTCCTTCACATGACAAGCCACAACGTGAGCCAATTCCCCCTCGAACACAACAGGAATCGACAAGGGGCTTTTTCTCCCACCCCCATTTCCTAGAGATATGATAGTGGTGGCGAAGTGCTTCCCGTCGGAATCGGAATCGAACTGAACCGGAATCTCCACATAACCGATCAAATTGACGAAATTGGCAACTTTCGCTTGGTAGGGCATCTTTCTTGGCTCGGGCCAAACACTAATTGCTGCCGCCTCCGTTTGTTTGTTGATCCTCTGAGCAAAAAATGACGATGAATCGGAAGATTTCTGGGGTTTAGGGTTTGTAAATTGTTGGACTTTCTGGCTACTACTAACAGTAGTTTTGGCGGAGAAGAAGTTGCAGTGTTGAACGGCGGTTCGGGGAAGAAGGTGGAGAAGGCGTTTCCTCGGCGAGGGAAAATGAATCAGATTGGTTAGTGAATTCATGGCAATGATTCAGTGAAAATTATTGAATGGTTTATCGAGGGTTTTTGGATATTTGGGGATGACGAAGAGAATTTCAGTGTGTGAATAAAATCTGTTTTGGATTTTCTTTTTTTCTTTTTGCATAAAACTAAAATCGCAAATAAAAGGACAGAAGCGTTTTTCATATTTAGCAACTTTAGTTTTGTTGCTTAAGCAATTTTCTAAAACTTTATTTGCTGTTTTAGGAATGCTTTAGAAAATTTATATCAGTTCATATAAACATCACATGATGATTTTGTCAGCTGGGTTGATTCTAATATTTCGATATCTACTAGAATTATTGTTTAACTCACTTTCGCATTTTTATGCAAAATTGTCGTTTTTTTCCACTTATTAAGGGTTTTGGAGTTTTAATAGCAAGCACGTTAACAACTCTAGCCCAAGAAAAACGGCACGAAGAACCAAAAACTCATGAGCCTTGCTCATGAATCATGATGGATTTTGGTGATCCGACTTCGTGTTGACTCATAAAAATCCAATTTTGGTATTTCAGTAATGTTTTAAAAAACTCATATCATTTCGTTGAAACATCAGGTGATTCTGTCAGCCCTTTCGGTGATTCTTTAGTATTTCATTATCGGGCTAAATTAGAAGTGACTGTCGAAGAAAATTATAAAAGCATATACTATACCTCTTTGATTTTTTTTTTGATAAGTATACTTGTTTGAATTAGTATGTCTCAAGAACAAGATGCAGCCCAGGAGACAAGGGCTACCCAAAAGGCTCGGCCCAAAACACAAAACCCATCAAGGCCCACTAAGGGGAGAGAGAGAGAGAGAGAGAGAGAGAGAGAGAGAGAGAGAGAGAGAGAGAAATCCAGATAGTTGGAGTCATAGCCCAAATTCTAAACTCCATGACAAAGAGGCTAGCTTATAAATTAACTGGACTAGTTGCTGCTAAAAAAATACATCATAGGTGAAACCAAATAAGACAACTGAAAATGTGTGTTCCATTTTTAAGACAATTGAATGTTCGGACCACAAGAAGATTGAAATTGAGATTTTTTAACCAACAAAACAATGAAACACACTTGGCTGTGGCCTGTGAGTGGATCATACATTTCTTTCAACCTGATCAATTTTTTTTTTTTTTTAAGTATTTAATTTAATAGTGGTCCTTACTATATACTATTAAATACCTCTTGATTCCCTCCTCTATGCAAAATTCACAATACTAATTAACAATTGTAATTAAGAAAGAAAAAGTCTGATGCCTCATGAGTTGACTTTTTGTTCCCTTGCTAGTGGGAGGGGTCTTCACTGCTAATAAAAAAAAAAGTTCTTGACTTTTTTGTGTGATATTTGCCCCTACCAAATAATAATATTGCACAGAATGTGATGACAAAAAGGTAAAATTAAGAAAGTTGTTTACACATCAAATCTTTTAGGCCTGTGTTGGCTGATTGGTTGCTTGTGCAGATCAAATGAAAAGATGTGGAGCCATTTGCATATGTTTTTTTTTTTTGCCTTTTTTTCACATCCTATGAAATAATTCAAGAACCCCACTCTTTTGTTTGGATACTATGAACTACCCCTCAACTGTATATTTTGTTACTAAAAAATTCATTGTTCAATATGTAAATTTAACACTCTAAAACTGGACATGTAAAACAATACATAGTTGAGGAGCTGGTAGTAATTATCCAAACATAATAGATGTTTTCGTAATTTGACCTTACGTTAAGGGGTTTGGCCGTAATTTACCCTTTATATTTTAAGAGTATATCTCCATCTATTTGTTTTTTCGTTTTTTTCTTCAATGGTTTTTTTAGCCTTGTGATCTGAATTTGTGTGATAATACATCACACCAACTAATGAAAAATGGGAAATGTACCATTTCATCTCTCTCTCTCTCTCTCTCTCTCTCTCTCTAAGTATATATCTCTATATCTCTCTGGTATTGTTTGTCTTTTGTCTTGTTTTTACTTCTTCAATGGTGAAATGTGGAATGCAATACACTAGGATAGGATATATCTCATTTGCCCCTCAAAACTTTGATATACCCACCATATATATGCTACTATGCTTTCTAGTCAACATGTCCTTAAATTGGCTAATAAATTTATATATTACTTCGAGGTTGAGTCAGGTACTAGTACAAATTTAATTTTAAACTATCTAGTAATATTCCATAAATTTTAGGATTAAAATAATATTTCTTTTTTCTTTATGCTGATTCCAACGGTATTCACTGCTGAATATTTACTCTTACAACAAGTAGGTATTCGACTGAAACACGAATACAAATTAGAGAACATGCCATTAAATTTAACACTACAAGGGTGAATGTGTAAAATAATTCATAGTTAAGGAGGTGGTTGTAATTACCCAAACATAAGAGGTATTTTGGTAATTTGACTTTAACTCAAGTGTGTAAGAATAATTTACCCTAATAAAAAAAGGAACATGTAAAGACAAATAGAACCTTGATGTAGTGTCTCTGATTCAGCCATCCGTGCAATAATAAATATTAAATAAATAATCCTATGGGCTATGGCTACACTCTCGAAAACACAAATAATAAATACTACTAACATCAATTAAACTATAGATTAAAACTCATTTTCTATTTTAATATTGTTGTAATTAATTTGTATCTAGAAAAATAAATACTAATAATTACTACCCACACCATTTTCGAATGAGAGCCATCCCACGAAGCACCGACAGCCGTATAGCAACGCATCGCCTATATTCCCATCACCTACTAGCACCGATTCGCTCGAGAGCCACAAATAATCATGCCCATCATGCATCACCGGAGTAGAGAAACGAGCGAGACAACCTTTCCCAATAGGCAACGTGCAAACCAACAGCATTGCCCGAAGGACAACTCACTTCCTCGACAGCGTGGTTTTCGAAGCATAACTCGTACTAACCACACCATTTTCGAATGAGAGCCATCCCACAACGCAACACAGCCGTATCACACTCCAATCGCCTATTGGGGGCTGACTTCGAACGAACTCCACCCAATGATGGTCCGACAAGCACAAATTATCATACCATACCAACCCGTAAGAATGCATGTTGTCGGGCTTCGCCGAAGCACCGCACCGGCCTCAATATTGACGAGGCAATTTCTTGATTACCGACAAGCCAACTTCTTTATTTGCGACAAGCAACCTTCTTTATTCGGCATCTTTCTTTATTCGGGCATCTTTCTTTATCCGGCATCTTTCTTTATCGGGCCTCTTCCGAAAGGGACTGGAAAGGAAAAAAAAAAAAAAAAAATTTTTTTTTTTTTCCGACCGACCGCCGCCGCCGCCGCCGGAGCGCCGCCGCCGTTGGGTGGTGGTGCCGCCCGCCCGCCACCACTGGCCCACCATTCCTGCCGCAGGGGGGCGCGGCAGGCCCTCTTTTGCCAAAGTTGCTAGCAACTTTGCCCAAGTTGCTAGCACCTTGGGCAAAGTTGCTAGCCCCTTGTGCTAGCACCCTCCTTGGACACCTCCCCCCCTATAGTAGTGACATGGACAAAACCAGCCAAATGACCACTAGACATTGAAAATGCCCGAGGGAAGCAACTTTTTTATTTCTCAATATTTTATATCGTTATTCAACTTATTTTTTAACCAAATTTTTTTCTAACATTAATTATATTATTATCTACCCGTAGAAACTGGAATTTTATTTTTCCGACTTGTAATTATTTTTATTTAATTTTTTGATTCGAAAATATTTTTAATTACCAAATAAATAGAGAAAAATATCAATATACATTTTAAAAATCACGAAAATTATGCCAAATAGTTCCTGTTGATATTACAATAATTGTTGAATTTTTTTTTTATTTTTCTGGTTTGTAATTATATTTTTTATTATTTTAATTCAAAAAAATACAATAAAATAGATAATAAATAGAGAAAAATATCGAAATATATTTTAAAAATCACGAAAGTTATGCCAATTAGTTCCTGTTGATTATTCAAGAGTTCTTGAAATTTTATTTTATTTTTCTGGTTTTTATTTATATTTTTTTATTATTTTAATTCAAGAAATACAGTAAAATAGATAATAAATAGAGAAAAATATCAAAATATATTCGAAAAATCACGAAAATTATCCCATTTGGCTCCTGCTGTAGTTACATGAATTTATGAAATTTTTATTTTATTTTTCTGATTTTTAATTACATTTTTTTATTATTTTAATTCAAAAAATAAATAATAATTAGAGAAAATTAATTCGGGTATGACGTTTGAAGAGTGGAAAGGTACTGTGGATATTTCTTTTACGAAATAGTAATTATTATTTATATTATTCGGGTCGTTTTATTATTTAATTTCTATTTATTCATTATTTTAACTAAATATATTCGTTAAAATAGAGAAAAAACACCAAAGCTCGTTACTACACCGAAAAACATAACCATTCTCCGTGGAATCATACCCCCCCCCCACCACCCCCACAAGTGAACGTGACAATATCATCTTCGTAGAAAAAGATACGTTGAAAACAATTATCATTGTTCATCGACTTATTGTTCCCTCACAACATGCCTTGCCCAAACTAGTCGCTCCCGACGTTTTCGGAGCAATTCTCGAAATCTGAGAAAACGGCCCCGACAACCACCGTGCCAAATTCAATTTCCTACGCGCTCGTATTTTTTATTATTTTTTTCGGGTCGGAAAATTTTCGGACTTTCGGCACCGGCCCAGCCAAGGTGCTGGCGACTCTGCCCAAGGTGCTAGCAACCTTGGGCAAAAACTAGTCGCTCCCGACGTTTTCGGAGCAATTCTCGAAATCTGAGAAAACGGCCCCGACAACCACCGTGCCAAATTCAATTTCCTACGCCCTCGTTTTTTTTTTATTTTTTTCGGGTCGGAAAATTTTCGGACTTTCGGCACCGGCCCAGCCAAGGTGCTGGCGACTCTGCCCAAGGTGCTAGCAACCTTGGGCCAAAACTAGTCGCTCCCGACGTTTTCGGAGCAATTCTCGAAATCTGAGAAAACGGCCCCGACAACCACTGTGCCAAATTCAATGTCCTACGCGCTCGTATTTTTTATTATTTTTTTCCGGCTCGGAAAATTTTGCGGACTTTCGGGCACCTGGCCCCGCCATAGGTGCTGGCGACTCTGCCCAAGGTGCTAGCAACGTTGGGCAAAAACTAGTCGCTCCCGACGTTTTCGGAGCAATTCTCGAAATCTGAGAAAACGGCCCCGACAACCACTGTGCCAAATTCAATTTCCTACGCGCTCGTATTTTTTATTATTTTTTTCGGGTCGGAAAATTTTCGGACTTTCGGCACCGGCCCAGCCAAGGTGCTGGCGACTCTGCCCAAGGTGCTAGCAACGTTGGGCAAAAACTAGTCGCTCCCGACGTTTTCGGAGCAATTCTCGAAATCTGAGAAAACGGCCCCGACAACCACCGTGCCAAATTCAATTTCCTACGCCCTCGTATTTTTTATTATTTTTTTCGGGTCGGAAAATTTTCGGACTTTCGGCACCGGCCCAGCCAAGGTGCTGGCGACTCTGCCCAAGGTGCTAGCAACCTTGGGCCAAAACTAGTCGCTCCCGACGTTTTCGGAGCAATTCTCGAAATCTGAGAAAACGGCCCCGACAACCACTGTGCCAAATTCAATTTCCTACGCGCTCGTATTTTTTATTATTTTTTTCGGGTCGGAAAATTTTCGGACTTTCGGCACCGGCCCCGCCAAGGTGCTGGCGACTCTGCCCAAGGTGCTAGCAACGTTGGGCAAAAACTAGTCGCTCCCGACGTTTTCGGAGCAATTCTCGAAATCTGAGAAAACGGCCCCGACAACCACCGTGCCAAATTCAATTTCCTACGCCCTCGTATTTTTTATTATTTTTTTCGGGTCGGAAAATTTTCGGACTTTCGGCACCGGCCCAGCCAAGGTGCTGGCGACTCTGCCCAAGGTGCTAGCAACCTTGGGCCAAAACTAGTCGCTCCCGACGTTTTCGGAGCAATTCTCGAAATCTGAGAAAACGGCCCCGACAACCACTGTGCCAAATTCAATTTCCTACGCGCTCGTATTTTTTATTATTTTTTTCGGGTCGGAAAATTTTCGGACTTTCGGCACCGGCCCCGCCAAGGTGCTGGCGACTCTGCCCAAGGTGCTAGCAACGTTGGGCAAAAACTAGTCGCTCCCGACGTTTTCGGAGCAATTCTCGAAATCTGAGAAAACGGCCCCGACAACCACCGTGCCAAATTCAATTTCCTACGCCCTCGTATTTTTTATTATTTTTTTCGGGTCGGAAAATTTTCGGACTTTCGGCACCGGCCCAGCCAAGGTGCTGGCGACTCTGCCCAAGGTGCTAGCAACCTTGGGCCAAAACTAGTCGCTCCCCCCTTTCCACACTAAGATACTGAATAAAAGTTACATAGAAGAAAAAAAGGACCCCCCTTTCCACACTAAGATATCCACTCCAGAACCAACCAGACCTTCAACAAACAAACAAATGCACACACAATAGATACATATATACATACACACACACATGTGTGTGTGTGGGTGTAAGTATATATCATATATGTGGAAAAAGAAGCAGAAGAAAACAAATACAGAGAGAAAGCAGTGGCCAAAAAATCCTTTGCCTACTGGATCCTCTCTGCAGAGCCCATAGATTTTGTGGGTGACTCTGTGTGTGTGTGTGAGAGAGAGAGAGAGAGAGAGAGAGAGAGAGAGAGAGAGAGAGAGAGAGAGAGAGAGAGAGAGAGAGAGAGAGGTAAAGATGAAAGCTTTATCAAAGCCATTATCAAGTCCAGGGAGAACAGACAAGTTTCCACCGCCATTGATGAGGTTCTTGAGAAGTAACGTGGGGAGCAGAAGCAGAGGAAAATCACGGTCGAGCCCAATGTTGTACCTCCGCACCAGAAAAACACTGCCCGGCCCCACCGAACCAACCCAAGAACCTACCTCCCCAAAGGTCACCTGCATCGGCCAGGTCAGAGTCCGCCGCTCCTCCAAATCCAACCCCAAAAAACCCGCCGGAAAAGTGACGCGCCGCCGCTGCCGGCGGTGGCTCAAGATCAAAACCCTATTCTGCGGGAAAAGTTCCCTTACTTCCACCACCACCCACAAAAGACCCTTCAGAAGGACATTTAGCAAGTGGGGTTCTTTTTTTAGGTCTGGGTATTGCAAGAATAATGCTGATGCCACCGAAGATTCTCTGAGAAAGAAAATCGAATATAAAGAAAAAGTCGATGCTTCTGTTTATAGTAGCAATAATAATAATAATAATCACAGGACTAACAGCAGTACTAGTGGTGAGAGTGAGTATAGTGTTGTTAACAAGTATGAAAATATTGGAGGTGGATCTTTGAAGTTTCTAGAATGTTCTTCTTCTTCGTCTACTCCGCCGCCGCCGCCGCCGACAAACGCTTTGATTCTCACGAGGTGTAGATCTGCTCCTTACAGATCTTCTTCATTGGGTGGCATTTTCTGGGCTTCTGCATTTGCTCATCAAGAAGTTGAAAATGCGGAGAAATTAGAGGAAGTTGAAGTGGAAGTGGAAGAAAAGGCGGTGGTGATTTGTCGAAAAAGTAGCGAAAAATCGGAGAAAAATGATGAGGATTTGAAAAGGGTAAGTGTACATCCTTTAGTGCTGATGAGATGTAAATCAGAACCGGTAAGAACAGGGGAAAGGCTTCTTAATCAAGAAGACACTGCTTTTTCGAGGTTAGATAATGTTGTTGATTCTCGTTCACACCCTAATTCATAGTAATTTTTGAATTTTTTTTCTTTTTTTTTGGATTGTTGTACACAGAGAAAGCTTGATGTATGTGATGATTTTATTACTTTCTTGATTATGAAAAAAAGAAGAAAAAAAAAATACTTTTTTTGGTGATTCTTTAATGGAATGGAAAAGTGATTGAGAGAGAGTTTATTAAAGGGTAAATTAAGAGTAAGATCAAATTACGAATTTTTTTTTTATATTTTGGTAGTTACAATCACTCTCTATTGTTGCGGTGTTAAATTTAGGGTAAATAGCACTTAACCCCCTTGTGGTTTGGGCATTTTGCACATGACCCCCTTGTGGTTTGAAATTATGCACATAACCCCCTTGTGGTTTTGACATTTTGCACATGACCCCCTTATGGTATGAAATTAGGCACATAACCCCCGTGTGGTTTTGACATTTTGCACATGACCCCCTAATGGTATGAAATTAGCACATCATCCCCTTGAATAGAAAACTGGAAAAGACTAAATTACCCCTATCAAGTCAAAAGTTCTTGTTTTAATTTAAAAATAATTATTCTATAACATAAAAAGCTTAATGTACTTTTTTGTAACATGAGAAATATAATATATCATCGTTTTTTCTTTAATTTTACAGCACAAAAGTATATAATACTAGTTATTGTACTATTGACAATTTATTCGATTTTAAAAATCAATTTGAAAATCTTTAACATTTCATTAATTATGATTATTATATTACTATTTTCTATATAATATATTATATTATAGTTGTTATCGAACTTTAATTTTTTTAAGAAACAAAGTCTTTATTTCTTTTATGGAAATTTGGAAAAAAAAACATTTCTCTATAGTTGAAATGAAAATTAATGAAAATTAAATTAAAAAAATATTTATATGGCCTGTAAAATAGAAAAAACACAATAATATATTATATTTTTATTTCACAAAAAGTATATTAAGCTTTTCATTTTATAGAATAATTATTTTTAAATTAAAAAAAAACTTTTGACTTGATATGGGCAATTTAGTCTTTTCCAGTTTTCTTTTCAAGGGGGTTATGTGCTAATTTTATACCATAAGGGGGTCATGTGCAAAATTTCAAAACCAGAAGGGGGTTATGTGCCTAATTTCATACCATAAGTGGGTCATGTTCAAAATGTCAAAACCACAAGGGGGTTATGTGCCTAATTTCAAACCACAAGGGGGTCATGTGCAAAATGCCCAAACCACAAGGGGGTTAAGTGCTATTTACCCTTAAATTTACTGAAATCTTCTAGATTGTATGAAATATTCTTCAGTTTGTATCTGTTTTATCCTGTTTGAGCTCAATATTTTGAAACAAGATGATCATAAGATGCTCTCTTGACTTGTAAATATCAGATTGTGGTACATCTGAAACTATTTTTTTGCACAAACCAAGTATAAGAACATTTCTACGAAATCTAGAAGATTTTGTCGAAGATTCATGGTTAACAGGTGATTGTAATTCCCGAAAAAGAAGGGTTTTTTCATAATTTAACCTTACCTCATGGGGCGATCCATGGTTGACGGGTAATTGTAATTACCCGAAAAAAAAAGGTTTTTTCATAATTTAACCTTACCTCATGGGCGATCAATGATTGACGGGTGATTGTAATTACCTGAAAAAGAAGGATTTTTTCGTAATTTAACCTTACTTCATGGGCGATCATAATTTACCATTTTATTGAAAAAAAAATTCTTTGTTATTGTTTTCTTTAGGAGAGAATCTTGATGGATTTTTTTTTTAAATATTGGGAAGACGGATAATGGTGATGGTAATAAATTGATGATGTCTGAATGGTACACTGAAAGATGTAGGACAGTGGGACTGTTTGGTGTACTCCGCCGCTCCCTCATGGGCTGTATTTATTTGTATTTATTACTAGGCCCTTTGTTTATGGTCTTATATCTACTTGGACCCCCATACACAATTATATACCTACATTGCTGTAGTTAGGTGCTGCGTAAACGAAATAACGAATCGATTCTAGACGAACATGTGTTTCTCTAAACTTATTTCATGTGTTTTTTCGAACTTTTAAAACGGTGTTTCAGTTTGTTTTGATAAATAATCGAGTCGAACACGATTCATCGAGTAGGTTTACATTAAAATATGTCACTGCCACACTGCGAATTATAAGAGATGTAATTTGTAGTGTCTGTTTGGCTGAACTATATTGTACTTTGATTTTCAGGCTTTTTCTCTAATTCCATTAAAAAAGACAAAATGAAATCGAATTAATTCAACTCGAGTCATTTATGATGTTATTTTTGATAAATAAAAAAAACTAAAAATAAATAAATAATATATCATTGTAAAAAAAGAAGAAATTTACATAAATGCCAAGTCCAAAGAAAATTAGGAGAAAGGCCCAAATCAGACAAATAAGTTAATAATTATAGTCCAAATAAATATGTAGTTACTAATGCTTAACTAAACACAGTCTTCAGGCCCACAATTAAATAATTTAATATTTGCTCAGATTATACGTTTCAACAATTTCAATCTATTAAATTATATATTTTATTTTCCCTAAAAAGAAAAAAAAAACTCATATATTTTGTTTGCCTACTAACAAATTAAAATTTTAATCAGTCAAAATGTTTGGTTAATTGTATTAAAATTTAGCATTGAGTTAAATTATTTATTATAAAAATCGTTGAACTAATCGAACGTCTTTGGTCAATTCACAGTTGATTCTTCACACGTTTTTGCTCAATAAATAAGTAATTTAATTAAAAATAAATATATATATAAAAACAATTAAATCAATAAATAATTGCAAATAGCTGGGTTGCTTAAGAGGAGAGAGAACGAAGAGGAAAAGCTCATCTGCAACTTCTTTGAGTTATCATCCTCTATAATTTCTTAATATTCGTGTAATAAATTTTCATTTTCCGCAAATGGCAAACTACGAGGAATCAAACCCTCTTTTACCAAACGAAAAACAAGAATTTCAGACAAAAGATGAAAAGAAATCCTCCACCGCCACCGCCACCGCCACCGCCAAGGACGGCGGAGCCCCGCCGACTGCGGCGATTTCAATAGGATGGACGGCTGATGGGCTGCCGGTGGGTGAGCCAACTATGGAAAGGTCCCAGTGGGATTCCAGCTTACTCTCTTGTCTTGGAAGAAACGATGAATTCTGCAGTAGCGATCTTGAAGTTTGTGAGTTTTTTTTTTTTTTTGTTATCCAGTTGAATGAATCTTGATTTTTCAGGTAAAGATTGTATTTTTATTGATGTAGTGTCAAGTTTGCTGATCTGGGATTTTACTGGATTTAGGTTGGGATTTTGATGTTGATTCTGATTCTGATACTGATTTCTGATACTGATACTGATTCTTGATCTGAATTGTAGAGAGAGAGAGAAAAAAAAAAAGTGGATGACTTTTAAGTCTAATTGCTGATCTATGCTAATAATTGCTTTGTGGAGATAAATCGGTGTGAGCTAAGGAGCTATCTTATACGGTTAAACATCAGTCGGGACTCGGGTCTAGTCGGGACTCGGGTCTAGGAAAATTCTATTAATTTAGCAAAATATTAAATTATCGAGTTAATAATTTAGTACGTTCTCAAAACCAATTGGGATTGGAAGAATTTATTATTTAAGTGAGGCTATTAATTTATCGACTGTATTATTGTAAAATATGTCATGAGTGAAAATTTATTGTCCATTGTTATAGTGTTAACTAACTAAGTTGTCGGTCTTTAAACATGTTATTTGATTCTGAAAATTTTATAGCATTTAAGGGATCAATTATATTCTTTATAACGAAGCTAATTAATTATAAAATGCTCTTTTTTTCGATATTTTTTGCTGCTCGAGAACTATATATTCACTCTCTTGTGGTTGTTATATGGACAGGTTTGTTGGGTAGTGTTGCTCCTTGTGTGCTTTATGGAACAAATGTGGAGCGACTCGGATCTGCGCCTGGTACTTTTGCTAATCACTGCTTGCCGTACACCGGTCTTTACTTGATCGGGAATACCTTTTTCGGCTATAATTGTCTTGCTCCTTGGTTCTCTTACCCCATTCGTACATCCATCCGTCGGAAATTTAATCTCGAGGTGCGTAATCTTTTTTTTTTTTTTTTAAGTTTACTCCTTTATGCAAGCTCTAATATCATGTCAAGATCGGAACGAGGGTATCTATATTCGTTGAATATTAAAGATTGGTGATTTCTTTTATGTGACAGGGGAGTTGCGAGGCAATTGTTAGGTCTTGTGGGTGCTGTGGGAGTGTTATTGATGATGATGTTCAACGAGAGCAATGTGAAACTGCGTGCGATTTCGCGACACATGTGTTTTGCCATGCATGTGCACTTTGTCAAGAAGGTCGTGAAATTCGTCGGAAGCTTCCACATCCTGCGTTCAATGCTCAGCCGTTCTTGGTCATGATTCCACCTGGTGGACAAATCATGGGCCGTGGTCTGTAATCGTCTCTATTTTATGTTTTGTTTAGCTTATATATATATATATGTGTGTGTGTGTATGCATACTTTGTTGATGAGAACTTCTGTTGATGTTGATGTTGTATTGTATGTGCTTTATTCATTTGTTTTGTTTATCGATTGCTTGTATGGAAAGTCCGTGTAGTATTGATTGAGATAATAAACTTGGTTTCCTCGTATAAATGAGATTACTCGTGTCGCTCTTATAACAATTCTAGGGGTGGAATTCGGAATGGAAATTCCGATCTTTGCCGATTTCAATCTGAAAATTTACGATTTTTGAACAATATTTTCCATTCCATTTTTTTGTTTTACCGATACATATTACATTCTGATTTTCGATCCAAATTTAGTTTCCGAAAATTTCAACTTGTTTCCAAAAAGTATAATTGTAATGATGAAATGCTATTTACGGTTACAAAATTGCTATTTGCGTTTTTTCAAAAAACCCCTCAAAACTTTTCAAAAAAATCAAAAAACCCCCCAAACTGCAAATAGCAAAAAAAAAAAAAAAAAAAAAATCGAAAATTCAAAATCAAGCTTGAAGAAGGGTTGGGCTTCGATTTTAGATGTAATTTCGACTCTTTTATGTGTAATATGCATTGGGAAGGTCGATTACGGAACCAATTTCATGTTAAAAAGCCCTACAAATCGATTTGTAGATCTTTTTTTTTTCGCAAAAAAATGTTCGAACGCCCAAGATGGGCGCCCAAGGCGTGTACGAACGCCCGTTCATACACGCCTTGGGCGCCCACCCATCTTGGGCGTTCGAACATTTAAAAAAAAAAAGATTTTTTTTTTTTTTTTGCACTGGACGCCCAACTCGGGCGCCCAAATGCAGCTTGCACGCCCAACTTGGGCGTGCACTGCATGAATGGACGCCCAAGTTGGGCTTTTACGCGTTTTAGGGGGGTTTTGGATTTTTTTGAGAAGTTTTGAGGTTTTAGTGAAATAAAGTGTTTTTTTGAGGGGTTTTGTTATAAACCGCAAATAACAATTTTCAAACCGCAAATAACAATTCCCTAATAATATCATTATTATTATGTAATATGTAATGCATTTGAACAAAAGATTGAATTCTTTTAATTCCTCCGATTTCAATCAAAAACTCCAAAAAAATATGGAATTTCGCCTATATCAGATCCGTCCAATTTCCACCCCAAACAAACTCCTTTTGTGCATGGAAATAGCACTCTTCAAAATCAATGGAAAACACAAACTAAGGTTAATTGAAGCCAATGCCACCTGCCACAGAATGAAACTACAAAAGCAGTATTAATCATGACAAATTAAAAAAAATAAAAATAAAAATCCATAACTTTCAGACACAAGAACTACAAAAAAACTGCAATAAGTTCTCAGTCAGCTAGCAAAACAACGTTGTAGGTTCTAAATATAAAAGCTCAAAAGTTCTATCAGACAAAACGCTGCTATGCTTCTCTAGACAAAGTTCTGAACACGAGATATACGAGAGAACAAAAAAACAAACAGCAGCTCAATCTGTAAACGGGGGAACGCATTTATAGTTATTGATCTATTCTCCCGGTGCAGCAACGCCTTGCTTCAGTCTTTCCTTCTTCATCTTCTTCTTTGAAATGGGCTTCTTTTTCTTCGGGGGAAGGTTTTTCTGCGCGTAAACGTACAGCGCGTAATTTCCAACAAGGAACGACACGACCAGCCCACCAATCACAAGCAAGACAATCAATCCTGGGTTTAGTCCTTTGGCTTCAACATCCTTGGCCGCCTTTTTCTGTAAATCCATACATACAGCAGACGTAAAATAATTAAATTGGTGCAAAGTTGTCTCGAGTTGGATAAACAATCAAGAAAACCAACACCGATAGACTAATCAAGAATAAAATACGAGGCATATATCAATTGTACCGTATCGGAAAAATGTTTTACAACAACAATTAGAATTCGATCGTCTCGCATTCGTGCATTCGTGTACAGAGCTAATTTCAGTAATGAAATGAATCTCCTTCACTACACAAACAATATATATGTATCTTCGAGAAAATAAAATACGAACACACTGATAAATAATCGCACTCTGATTGAAAAATCAAGCTTCGAAAAGATGAACAACATTGTATGAAAATAAATAAATTAATGTTCTTTCAATTACTTGACAAGCTCATAGCATCTAAAAATTACAAAACTGCATTATATATTTCTAATTTTAAAAGAAGAAAAAAAATCCCCTCTAAATCATACAGAATCAGTCAACTCTGAAATTGAAACATTCTATTTGCCCTAAAATCAAATGCTTGTAGAAAAATAGATACAAAAACAAATCGCTGAGGAAAAAAACACACATAACCTAAAAATCATAGCTTTGATCCGGTTGAAACAGAAAATTTCACAGATCAAAGATAAGAACAACGAAAGTACACAGTAATCGAATCAGATCTGCTGAAAAATAAAACTGAAATTGAGATCCATGGAAGAAGAAGAAGAAGAATGTACCACATCGTCGAAATCCATCCGTTGGCGCTCTGAAAAAGCAAGGAAACAGAGAAATCGATAAGCTCGAAAATGGGGAGATTGACGTAACCAGTGCGTGTGTGCGCGCGTGAGAGGATGGTCATAAATTGGGAGTGTGTTTTATTAATTATTGTAGCTATAACAGTCATGACGTAATTTCTACATTTCGTCCTTCAACTTATGCAGTTTTATAAAATTCACCCCCATATTATTGGGCCATGGTGAACATGGGCTACTTTTGTTACTGGGCTTATATAGCCCCATTTTTTTAAATTCACGCGAATAAATTGGATTTCATCGAATTTAAATAAATAAATAACATTGTTTGAAACCGGAAATTCTATTTTGTATTCTCCTAAAATATAAACAAATATAATGATATTCGTATTATATGAGTAATGAAAAAATAAAAATCGGAATTTTCGAAATTCGGAAAAGAATTATAATCGTATCGCCTAATTTTTTTTTTGTCCCATTAATTTAGTTGTGATTGGACAAGTCAATTTCAAAGTAGAATGCCCCTTAAAGAATATTGTCTAAGGGGATAATAATTTGTTTGTCTATCTATAGGAACATAATTTAATAATTTAAAAGAAAAAGGGAAAATCGTTATCAAGTGGTTTTTGACTTATGGAGTGGTGCCGATGAATAATGGGCACGTGAAGCTATATCATTCTTGCTGTGACCTTGTCTACATGCCCTATATTTATGCTGTTTTTTTTTTTTTAGATTTTAATTTATTTTAGGGGAAATTAACTTTTATTTTTTATTTATTTATTTTTTTTGCAAAAAACAAATATTTTCCTATATAATCCAAATAAAAGGGGGGCAAATTCCATAATGTTTTTACCAATTCAATATGTGCCTTTCTTTTGGCACATAGGTTACTTAGGAAAGCAACAACTCACCTTTCCAAATTCCACACAAAATCTTATCCAACTCATGCAATAAAATGGCACTAGTTTTGTCATCTTGTTCAAATTTTATCTAATAAATAAATAGCTTTGCAAAGTAATGCCAAAACTCCAATTCTCATAGGAGATTTGGTAAAAATGTAAATAAATAGCTTAAATAAATTGATATGAAACTGCAAAAGCCCTTGGATTAAGCATACATAATAAACCACATTTAATCATGTAAAACAATGTTATTATTAATCAAGTTATCATGTTTGTTACACACAACTCTAAACGAATCAAAGAATAAATTAATAATCTGAACACACACCATCATCTACACCAAGTCCACACCACTTCTCCCCCCACCTCCGCCGCCGGAGAAACTGTTCTCCGACGACGACGTGGAAATCTCGATCATCCCATTCAAATCCGAAACACTATCCTGCAACGTCAAAATCAACTCCGACGTACTAAAACTCAAAGTCGGCTTCACTAAGGGCACAATCGGAATTTCACATTCCCCAACCAGCATCTGCACCACACCCCTCATCCCAGGCCGAGCCACCGGGTCGGGGTGCGAACAAGCCAGCCCAATCAACATCACCCTCCTCATATCCACCTCATCAAACTCCCCGCCGAGCCTCCGATCCACCGCCCCCATCAACCCCCCTCCCCTATACAATCCCCACACCCACTCCACCAAACTCCCACCCCCGGGGGCCGAAACCCCCTTCTCGATCGGCCGTCGCCCCGTCGCCACCTCAAGCACAACCGCCCCGTAACTAAAAACATCCGTCTTATCGGTGGCCCTACCCGTAAGCAAATACTCGGGCGCCAAATACCCCATTGTGCCCGCCGCCACCGTGGCGTCGGGCGATTTATCGTGCTCCGTTAATCTAGCCAATCCAAAATCACCCAATCTCGCGTTGAAACCCTCGTCCAGCATAATGTTGCTACTTTTCACATCTCGATGGATCACTTGATTCTCGCACTCTTGATGCAAGTACGCTAATGCGGATGCCACACCGTGGAGAATCTTTTTGCGGTGGGCCCACGGCAAAACGGTTTTCGATTCGAATAGTGCTTTGTCTAAACTGCCGTTGGACATTAAATCGTAAACCAATAGGCTCTCGCCCTTCTCGTGGCACCAGCCTTGGAGGCGGACGAGGTTCCGGTGCCTTAGGGTTCCGATTATGGAAAGTTCGGAGAGGAACTCTGTTCTCCCCTGCCCTTTGTGTGTGCATCTTTTCACGGCGATGGAATCTCCGGTGGTGGGGAGTACGCCCTTGTAGACGGTGCCGAATGCGCCGTGGCCGATGATTCGGTTCGGATCGAATCCTTTTGTGGCGGTGTTGAGATCTTTGTAGGAGAATTCTTTCGGCATTTTAATTACGTCGGAAGCTAGCGTGGTGATGGGGGTAGGGTTTTTGTTGTGTTTGAATTTCTTGTTGTATGCCCATATTAGGGTTAGGGCACAGAACGCTAGGAAGAATGCGCCGGCGGTTACTACTCCGACGACGGCGCCGGCGCCGTTTCTGCAGAGCTGGTTGCGGCACTTTCCGGGGGCTCTGTCCTCGTGCGGCGTGGTGGTGGTGGTGGTGTTGGTTTCCGGTGCGGCGGAGGGCGGCGGAGGGGTGACTGTGTTGGCGGTGGGGTTCATTAAGTTCGCCGTTGTAGGCGGCGGCGGCGGTGGTGGTATGACCGAGTTGTAACTCGGGAACTCTTCGAAGGAGGAGCTGAAACTCCACCACTCAATGCTGTGGATTTCCGTGCTGCCCTGAGTTGACCCGGAGAATCCGACGAACATGAAATCGTTGGTCAAGTAGTCGTGAAGATCCAGAGCGGCGGATATGATGGGCTCCTTGGGCTTCAAATTGGAATACGACACGTAGACTTTGATGAACCGGGTCGACCCGGAATAGTCGATCCACGAGTTGACCAGGTCGCCGCTTTTCAAATCGACGCCGACGGTGTCCAAATCGCAGACCCGGGTCGAAACCATGGAGCCCAGATCCAGACCCGCGTGGTTCCCGTTGATGTCACTGAATTCGACGTCCATTAGGGTATCGAACTCCACCGCCACGACGCCGCTCTGGTCGCCATTCGCGTCCATCGTGCCCAGAAACCCGCCGGCGTCGCCGACGTGCTCGTCGTCCGGCGAGATGACGAAGGCTAATCCGCCGCCGATGGAGGAGGGGTTCAGGTTCGTGACGGAGAAGGAGAAGAATGTGGAGAAGCTCCCCAGGGATTGGGTGCCGGGTCGCCGGAAATTGATGGGTTTGGAGTATAGGATCTTGCCGGCGCCGGAGTAGGGGACGCCGAGATCGCGAGTGAGTCTGACGCTCCCGTTGCTCATGTGGGCGTCGCCGAGTAGCTTCATGGTGGACAGAGTAAGCGTCCCGAAGTCAAAATCAGTAGACGCGGTTATGACATCGCCGGAGATGAGACAAAATAGAATGAAACAAAAGTAAAACCCGCCGGAAAATGACGTCATTGTCTAGATTAATTCAGAACAATAACCCATCAACGAATAATCAAGGAAGTTATTCTGTCTCGTGTTCTTTTTTTCTCACCCGTGACAGAGAGAGAGAGAGAGAGAGAGAGAGAGAGAGAGAGACTGAAGAAGAAAATAATTAAGGGAGTGTGTGTGTGTGTGTGAACGGTGGTGGTGGTGGTATGGGAGAGGAGAGAATCCGAGGAGGGATGGGAGAAGACAGGTGGACGCCACGTGTTGTATCTAACGGTAATATTTTTGTGCGGGTCGGTTGTCATAAAAACACATAATACTAATAATAATAATAAAGGAAATTTATTTTTTCGGACACAGTATATATAGTGAAAAGTGCTTTTCAATATCGAAAAAAAAAAAAAAAAAAGTGCTTTTCCAGTTCCGATGTTTGTACTTTGGTGTTTTATTCTTGCTGCTGCTGCACTGCAATTTATATGTATATTACATATTTTAATTTCAGTGCTTAATTTAGAATTTTATGAAGATTAAATAATTTCTATTAAATAGTGGGCTTTTTGAATTTTAATTAATGAGATGATGTAGAAAATCAGGGATTTGAACATTTGCACTTAAAAGGTGGGATATAAATATAGGGGTCATTAGCAATACACCCCTCCTATAGATAAAAAATAGTGATATGTCCATGCCATAATTCTTCCTTTGTGAAAACCCCCTAAAATATTTATTTCCAATCTTACCCTTATACTACTCACGTTTTTTTTAATAATTATCTAGTATTAACAAAATTCCTATTAATAAGGCAACTAAATCCCACGTTTTTTTTAATAATTATCTACTATTTACAAAATTCCTATTAATGAGGGCCTAAATCCCGTTAATTAGGATTAATTAGTATAATTTATCTCAATTATTTCTTTTTTCTCTCTTTCCATAATAACAATTTAATTCCTAAAAATCGGCTTCCAAATTCCTAAAAATATGCTACCAAATAAAAAACAAAAGTATTTTCGGACTTTATTTTTTTATTTTTTATTTTTATATTATTTTCGGACTTTATTTAGCCATTTTTTATGTATTTTTATTTTAATATTTTTTAATAAAAATAATTTATTTATTTATTTTTTATTTTTTTTTAACAAAAAATTGAAAATTTTCTCTCCACAGGTTTGCAACGCCGAATATGACTATAGTTAAATATGACTATATGTGACTATATTAATTGTAGTCATATTTTTTCTTTATATTGTTGTTTTTTATATTTTGAACTTAAAAATTCCGATTATATGGCATAGTCATGTTTACCAAATCATATAAAACAACGAAGATTCCCTATTGTTTACGAAAACAATTCAATCAATATAATATCCACACAAAAAAATCAATTTGAATCTACTTACTAGAAGTCAACTTGAAAACGAGAATATAGATTATATTCAACAATAGTCATATTCGAATATGACTACAGTCATATTCGAAAAAATACATAAATATGGCTATAGTCATATTCGAAGTCAAACTGCACCACTTATCAGCGACAAAGCCAACGAGGTCTTCATACACAAAATCACCCTGACATATCTTCACCCCTCACGAGCCTCCATACTTCAACACAATCATCAAGGTTGACGACATGATGTGCAACACTACACACAAAAAAATGAGAATGTGACTACTATGTGACTACTTCTGATGAATAAATCTGCACTACTCTGTAAATGCAAATCACATAATATTATGTGAATTCAATTCAACCACAACAAACACATTGAAACCACAACAAACACATCGAAACATATCAGGTAACGCAAAAATACATAAATATGACTATAGTCATATTCGAACATGACTATAGTCCTGTTACTGCTATTGTTCAGACCTGGAAAAATAATCGAAAAATATAAAAATAATGAAGGAGATTCATGGGGAGTCGACGACAACGGCGATGCTGGCGGCGGTGAAGGAAAGAGAGTGAGAGAGGCGGCGACGGTGGTGGTGGTGATGGACAAATCTGGGAAAAAAAAAAATGAGATAGATGACGAAAAGAAGAGAAAGCGAGCCTTACGTGGAAACGAAGGAGGAGGCGACGGCAACGAGCGATGACGATAATGGTTGTGTATAAATCTATGTGGAGACGATGGCGATGTAAATAGAGAGAAATCGAGAGAAACAACGAACACGAGAAAATAATAAATCACTAATCGAGTGAATCAACAATAGTCATATTCAAACCAGAGTAGTCACGTTGATGCTGCTGTTTCAGATTTTGAGAGAAAAAAAAAAAGAAAAAATCAAAAATAACGAAAAGGAGGGAGGGGGAGGCGACGAAAACGACGGTGAATGACATAGAGAGTGGAGACGTGGCTACGGTGGCGGTGGTGAACAGATCTTAAAAAAAAAAAAAAAAAAAAAAACTGAGAAATCGAGAGAAAATGAAAAAGTGAAATCTCCATGTAATGCATACGACGAAGGGCGGCGACGAGGTGGTGGAGGCACCGCCGCCACCACTTGTACAGATGAGGGCCTCTTTCATTAGATTTCGACCGACCGGCGGTTGAAAGGTATTTTTTGCTCCGGCGATGACGAGTGCACGAACAACGGTGGCTATGGTGAGTGGACTACGGCGGTGGTGTGAAAAAGATGAAGGAGGGCGCCGACGGTATACAGATCTGCAGAAAAGACGGAAAAAGAAAAAAAGTAAAAAAAAAAAGAAGACGATAGATTGAGAACGAGAGAGAGAGAGAAAAAGAGAGAGGGAAGAATGAAAGACTGAAATAAATTAAATCACGTTAAAAACCTAATCACATAAGGGCACTTTAGTCTTATCATATCTGGTTAGGGGGGTCTCACTAATTAAGAATGAAACTTGGGTGTAGGCAAAAGTCTCTAATAGTCAATTGGGTTTAGTTCAAAATATTTTGCAATTGAGGGGGTATTGCATATTTCCCCATAAAATAATTCTCAAAATTAGAAAATCCCATTGATTTTAGCAGTATAGGAATAATTAATGGGTCAATTAATTGAACAGAAAATAGATTGCATTATTGGGGATTTGGTCCTGGTCCAGTCCAGAAACAGGGATGGGATAAATAGTGAGATGAGCCCTTTCTTCTAATTCTTTTTATTTTTATTTATCAATGAAGATAAAGTTGTCAATAATTGTGGGTTTTAGGAAAACAACAAAAAATAGCGTTAATCCAGCACACTCTCTCAAGCCATGTGGACAATACCATTCAATAATCTCTCTCTCTCTCTCTCTCTCTCTCTCTCTCTCTCTCTCTCTCTCTCTCTCATATTCACACAAAAGTAATTATATATTAACATTCTATTATAATATATGCCTTAGTCAACTGAAAACTAACTAGAGAATACATAATATTTGATAAATTACGAATATCCCCTGAACTTAGATTAAATTATAAAAATACCCCACCTATCAGTTATTACCAAACTTCCCCGATGTTTGTTTATGTATAACATCGATCCCTTTACGATGTGATTTTTCATGATTTTTTCTTATCTAGGGAATATTTCTCGAAAAATGTCGATTCTACCTGATGATGCTAATTATTTAAAACCCTCTGAGATAGTGTGGTAAACGAGTTGGGAGAACAAAGCGGATCAGTAGCTCGCCAATTAGATGGTCCTGAGATCCCTGCGAAATAAACACACTTGAAGTCGGGGTTGATCCGGCGGAAACCCCTCCGACGCTCAAGTCAAATATACGGATAGTTGAGATGGTAGAGAGAATATGTGCTCTAGAATCCTTGTGAATAATAGTAAGTACCTTAATAAAATGAGTAAAACCTCTATTTATATGTCGTTTATTGGGTTGGATTTGCTTTGTTAGGCTCAAGCTCTATTTTGAAGGTGTTTGGGCTTTCGTGTAGAGGACCTAATTATTAAATAAATTATGGGCCCATTTGATCGGCCCAATTAGGTATATCATTAGTACCCTTATAGAAGTGGCACATTCACAACTTTTTAATATTATCATTATCCCTTTGAGAGCATTTTTTATTTTTTAAAAATAGCATAAAGAAATGCCCTACATGTATAGATAGAATTGAAAGTTTGGGGAAATAATCCGTGAAATCAAAAAAAATCCGTAAAAAATCACACTGTAAAGGGTCGGTGTAAGACGAAAACGAACATCACGGGGATTTTAGTAGTTACATATAGATGGGGTGTTTTTTAGGGGTCTTTTTGTAATTTACCCTAGAATACTTATCAGATACATTATACTTCATTAAATATAAAGAAGGCTTAGATTCCACACAAATTAAAATTCAGTTACAAAGTTGTATCAGAAAATAAATAAGAAGTCCAAATGGGGAATAGAATAAACGGCCCAATAGAATAAGGCCCATGACCCGGCCCGACTTTATTCAACCAAAAAAAAAAAGCCCGTTTCTTGTTAATTAGTGGTTTAAAAATCGACAATCCTTTCTAATATCTCCTTGATCACCACTAAGTGGATTATTCTCAGATAAAATGAGCAAAGCCCTCGAGAATTGATCATGAAAGTAAGCATTATCAGCAGCCATTTTCACCACAAATGGATAAGTTGTTGGATTAGAAACTAATTCCGAATCAATTAGCAATAATCCCTTGTGGCTTAAGAGGTTCTTGTAGTACATGTTGTCTAGCTCCATCGGAGTTTCGAGGTCGTTTCTCACGTAATCGACAACCTTTGGGTCGGGGTTCGGTGAAGGGCAACGGAACTTGAGGTAATCTGCGTATTGTGGGTCCAGAGATGGATCTACCGTCGGGTATATTCTTTGCACAATGTTTCTGCAGTGAACTCGTCCGACTGAATGCGCACCTGAAATAGTTCATGGTTGAATCAAAGAGTTATTATTTCTTTAGTTTCTAAGGTAAAGTTAGAGGGTATTTGCTTAAGCTTATAAGTTGTTACAAAGAACTTATAAAATATTTAAGAGCTTATAAGCTCCTCCAAAGTGTTCGACAATTTTTTTAATAAGATGTAAAAAAAATCACAAAATAAGCTTATTGAGAGCAAATAAGTTTTTTTTAAATACATCTACCCTAACTTTTTATTTAAAATCTTAACATGAGTAAAAATAGTTTATAAGCTCATTGTCCAAGCACTTCAGAAATTAATTCTAAAAATAAACGTAACAACTTATCAGCTTTTAAAACAACTTATCAAATGTAAGGGCTTATCAGCTGTTTAAAGCAAGTTTTACCAAACGACCAATTAGCCATCATAATAATTTTCATAATCTATGGCCAACACAAAATGTAATTGAATTCATCAAACATTCAATAAAGTCCAATTATTTAAGTAATCGTGATTAATCTTACCAGCCAAACGAGCCATTAACAGTTCATATAGCGGTGAAACCAAAATTCTATTTACCAATTCAAAGAAGAAAAAAAAATTTGTCTTCGTGGCGTTACGTATACATCACTACACGAAAAATTAACAAAATATCAATACAAATAATCGCAATTAAATATAAAATAAATAAATTTTACCTAATAGAGCAACTGTTCCTTCAGTATCAATACCAATTGATTGGAATGTTGAAAGAACTAATGACATTGAGTCATTGTGATTAGGGATTAATTTGTCAACCACTGCTGCATAACTTTCTTTGCTATCTTTTCTTCCTGTTTTCATTTTTATTTCTGGGCCTTTCAACTGTGTGTAACACCACCAAATATATTTTATTTCAATATATTATATATCCTTATAAATAATGAAATTAAAATTAAAATTAAATAAATACATTTTTAATTAAAATTAAAAATTACCAGGGCTGCACCATCTCTAGCAGTAAGAGCAATAATATCAGCACAAGAAACAGTCAAGGGGCACTCCTTCTCAAGTGCATCTTTTATTGTGTCTATGTACTTGAAATTTCTCATCCCGAAACTCCTCGCCGCCGTTTTCTCCGACGTCACTCCAACTACCGTGTCCAATAAAAGCGATGCGTCGCATGACTTTATAATTTTTTAATTTTTTTCCCCGACGTAGATAAAATTTAAAAAAAAATACTATTAGTACTATGTATATAATATACATACAATAAATTAAACATTGGTTAAAATATAATGACGATGTCAACCTTAACGACGCAGTCGTGGAAGAGATTTCGGATCCAAGAAACGGCGGTGTTTCCGTGCTTGCGGTATAAAATGGCGACTTGTTCTTTGATAATCTCTTCTGCTCTTGGGCAACTCTTTGAGTAGTAATTTAACTGCAGTTCACTTTTAACTGCAGATACATTTTGTGACAATTTAAAAAAAAATAAAAAAAAATAATAAAATCAAATTAAAAGAAAAAAGAAATTGAACGTACCAGAATAAAACTGCAAGAGCAACGGTAATAACAGAACGATAAAAGTATGGTTGAGAGTGGCCATTTTTTTTTTCTATGTTCACTACAGAATGAGTACCGAAGGCTAATCTTTGTTATATATATATACATATAGAGAGAGAGAATCTAGAGAGAGAGAGATTGCTTTGGTGGGGCAGCTATTGCCATTACCGAAATTTTGGTACGATAAATTCATTACTATTGCTCCATCAAAAAGAAAAAAATCAGTGTATATCGAAATTTCGTTATGATAATAGTAATTACTTATTACCAAAAAAATCAGGGTATATCGAAATTTCGTTATGAATATTATCTTCTCAAAACTATTCAAGGAATTAATTAATATATATTTAAATCCACTAAAAACTAAGTATTAAATGGCATTATACATAATTAACCACCTAATGTAAGTGGTGGGTTCACCATAAACATTTTTAGGCACTTACACTAGGCCAAAAAATTCTAACTTTTCTGTTTCTTCAACACTACATTTGGAATTGGATTGCCCCATCAACTAAATCCACCATTATTTTCCAACAAAATCACATAAACAAATATAATTGATTATTCAACATCCACAACAATTCCACTAATTGTGCAACTTTCATTGATTTAGATACACTTAAATTCTTCTAAAATTAAACGTTCAATAATATTGGTCTCTTACATCAAAAGACAAAATTTCTCCCCCAGAGCTCCCATCCCCTAGTTCAACAAGTTTTGATCGGTTAATGTAAATTATATTGACTCAACGGTCCGTTAAGATAGCGGATCTTGGACCTGGTGCCCGCAACTAATCCTAATGTTTTTTAATCAAATAATTTGAATTTGATTTTAATTTTAGTGGAAAAAAGTTTAAATGGTCCGATATTCAGTAAACTTCAAGTGGTGACCACGATCATTTGAAAAATAGTTTCGTTTAAGATATAAGAAGTATAATCGATTGTGATTTAACATCTACATAATTTTAAATAACTTTGTTATGATGCAATTAAAATGAGTAGCTCCAAATGTTTTCATACAAATATAACGTCTAGCTAATAATAACAAATTGATGAATACAACTAATAATGATGCTATAGTATATGAATATAAGTTGATCATCAATTAAATTTTATTTTTTTATAGGTGAATAGTTCAAAATGCTAATTAAAATATAAATAGAAATTAATTAACAAGGCTACTATATATATATATATATATATATATATATATATATATATATATATATATATATATATATATATATATATATATATATATATATATATGGTCAACAAGCATGACATATGGGACTGAGTTTAGCAGCCTCCAGCCGCCCAGGACCAGGCCCACCACCGCCCAAGTTGGGCACTATGTGCTGGATTAAGTTGCACGGCGTTTCCGAGAAATCGAAATTCCGTAATACCTGACCAAAACGTTTTGGCGCCGTTTTCGTAAATATTTAAAAGTTTTGGAGACGTTTCTAGTGATAATGAAAAATATTTTTTAAATAAAGACTCGAAATTATGTATATTTGAAAAAATCTTAAATCTTATGTCTATTTTTTTTTACTTTTAGTGCCTTTTAATATTTTTTTATAGATATTAATCCTATAATAATACATATTTCTAGGTCTTATATATATGTAATTTGTGCATTGATATACATATTTTGACTTGTAAGTTGAATATAGTTTTGGGATACACATCTATAATTGACCGTCAAGATTTATGTTAAGGTTCATAATATTTTTTAGAATTTATGAATATATACCTATATTCTTAATATTTACGCCTTTTCTCATGTTTTAGTATCCAACTTTCCGGAATATAGGGTTTATCCGTGTCTATTTCCCTGTTTCGCGTATCGACGTTCCCCTATCCGTATTACATAGGTGACGGAAACTTACCATATATAGCATGTGATTTAATTACCCTTTTCTTCCATCATAAGAGACGTGTAAAATAAAAGAATGGGTATTTATTGAATTAATTTTCAATTCTAGAGGTTTTTTTTATTTATTTTTTATTTTTGGTTTAATACAATGATTATTATAGGTATATTAATATAGAAAATAATGTAACACTCCACATTATAAAAAAAAAATAATAATAAGGAATTTGTTAATCCTCCACAAAACTACCTTTTTTACTTTCTTTGCTTGCAAAAACCCATGCGCATGAAATAAATGGCAAGACTAAGAAGAGAGTGATAATTTTGGGTAGTGGAGAAGTGATAGAAACAAATCCCATGATTGGTTGTTTTAGTGGCGCAGCAAAGTGCAAGTTCTTGAGGTAAACTCTAAGTTATACTTATACCCATCATTTTTTATTTTTTTTTTTAATTTTTTTTTAATTAATATAGCTAGTAAGAATCATGACTCCCTAATTGCTTGTAATTAATCTAGTATTTATTTATGTATACAAATTTTGTTACTTTTTAATTAGTCGAAATAACTTAATGGAATTCCAACAACAACAAAAGAAGTTAAAGATTAACTTATGGAATTGTATTTTTAGAATTTAACATAAATTATGTGTGCTTCATACATCGGTTTAAATTGATGATTGTAACTTAAATTGTATGTATGCACTAATATATAATATCATTATCCAAAATGAACAAGTTGGGCATTTGGTCTAGTGGTATGATTCTCGCTTAGGGTGCGAGAGGTCCCGAGTTCAATTCTCGGAATGCCCCTTTTTTTTTTTCTAATTATTTACAATTTGATTTTCAATTTTGCTTTTTATCGAATTATTTCTGGACCTACAAAATCAGCTAAAAGCCCACATAGGTGAGAGATGTGGGCCTTCTATTTTTGTATCTTTTGGGTTTGCTTTTAACAAATTATTCAAAGGCTCTGAAAAATTAATATACAGTTCCATTTTTTCTTTCACAATAAAAAGAAACATTAGTATACTTATCAAAAAAAAAAAAAAAAAAAAAACATTAGTATCAGAATTGCCAGTCCACTTGTATTAAGTAAGGAATCAAAATATTATAGAATTTAATAATATATATATAATCTCTGTATGTATGTATATTTCTTACAAGTATTTGGTGTAAATAGCATTTTTCATTTAGATACAAAATTTCAGCCACTTGTGCAACTTTGAGGTTCAACCGTAGCCAATATTTGACTTTTGTTTGGTTAGCCAATATTTGACTTTTGCTTCATTTTTCTTACCTCCTTTACAAGCAATTCTTTCTACAACCTTCCCTATAGAGTAGACTGGCTTTGGACATATTTACGTACATGTGTGTGACTGTGTGCAGATTTACGAGACCATAATCCCGATAGTCGATGCTTTACTTGATTAGGTATACGAAAACTCTCTTATCAAGTATTAAATGTATATTTTGAACAATTCTTAGTTATGAATAATTCAAATGTGGTGGACTTAATTAAGTCATTCCCCAATTTGTCTTATGGGGGAGTAACTTGATAAGCATATAGGAGCTGTAGCAAGTAGAATTGACTGGGTTTGGATCCTTGCTTTTCTTTTTTTACCCAAGGAAAATGCGCAGTCAGCCAAATAGGTGCACTGGGTAAAACCGTATACTCTCGTATAATAATAGTTCGCAAACCATAAAAGAGACGTAAAAACCACACTAGGCTAACCATGTGTGACAAACTCGAGCTAATTATTATTGTCAAAAAGATTCGAACATGAGTCAATTCACACATGCTCACTTGCTCCAACGTCAGACCGCAGGACACAATTTACTTATTTATACAATTACGTTCTCAACTGCTAAATTTGAAAGATTCTAATATCCAAAAAAGAATGTTATATCAAATTTTGTCTTTTGCCTTTAGCTGCATATTGTTTGTCTGTGGTGTGGAAGGTCAATCACCATACTATTATTCATAAAATCATTTAAATAATAAAATGACAAGGGACCAATTATAGAAATAAATCATTCTACTGAAAAAAAGAAAAATGTAGACTCATACTAAAGATCACACAAAAAGGCCAATCTTGTCTGAATTTTCAAAAGACTAACTGGCTGGTAATGACAAAATTCTCCTGAATCAACTGAAATGTCGAAATTTTGCGCGCAATTTATTCTAATTTATAACAATACACAAAAAAAATCGAACTTATATATATAGGTACATATAATATATATTCCAAAGCAAAATAATAGACGAAGGAAAGTCGGTATTCCTCAATTCTCCAACAAATTCGATTTCTTTTTTTGTTTCTCAGTCCTGATTTGCCGACGAGTCAAAGTCAAGTTTCCCCTAGATTATTTACACACACTATCGCCTGTAGACCATTGTATAAGAAGCCCCCTACAAACTACCCCCCCACCGAAACGTAAAGACATTTTTGGTAATATTCACAACATATTACAATGTCCAAAAGTTGACAATCTTTCGGTAATAAATAGCTTTATAAAAATTCAGTCTCCAGAATTTATATAGATTTTCCAAAGTTGCATTTCCTTACCGAAAGAAGAAATGGCAGTAAAGGGAGGTCGATCGCTTGAAGAAACACCGACTTGGGCAGTTGCGGTTGTATGCTTCGTGCTCGTAGCAGTTTCAGTTATCATCGAATACACAATTCACCTTCTAGGAAAGGTATACGTGTATATATTACTACTGATCATGCATGTACACAACAATATATATTTTGAAGATCGTAATTTTTTTTTTATTGTTTCCAGTGGTTAGTAAAGAACAACAAGAAAGATTTATACGAAGCACTTGAAAAGGTTAAATCAGGTATGTCGTATATTCTGATCGAGATATTTATTGTTTTATTGATTTTTTTTTTAATATATTAACATGTTTGATGATGTTCTTTATTGTGATCTGTTCCCCTCAGAGCTTATGCTCCTAGGGTTTATATCATTGCTGTTAACAGTTGGGCAAGGGCCAATTTCGGAAATTTGCGTGTCAAAGAAAGTCGGAAATTCTTGGCACCCATGTGCAGAAAAGGAAGAAAAGAGCAAGTATAAAGAAGATGACGAAAAGGCTGATTTTGATGACAACGGCAGAAGAAGATTGCTTGCGTATTTGGACTCCGGTTGGGATCAGAGACGGGTTTTGGCTGCCGGAGGATATGATAAATGCGCAGACAAGGCATGATCAATATTTTTATTTTATTTTCTTGTTTCGTATTTAGAAATATTTTATATATATTTGGATTATTGTACTGCGATTATCGTTTTTTTAAGAAATATTAACATTTTCATTAGCATAATTTTGCAGGGAAAAGTTCCCCTAATTTC